AACCATGACTTAGATTCCAATAGCCACTTCGGCAAGTCAGTCAGTCAGTCAGTCCGTCAGTCAGTCATTGCTGTCGAGCTGGATTCGTGCACGCCATCAAATGTGGCAAATGATCATCAAATGTTGCAGCTCACCACTTGAGCGCCCACGTCACGCACAAGGCTCGAGCATGGCCGTAGTCTGAGGGGATAGCAACTAATTAGAAATACTAACTATACTAGTATTTCAGTTGAAAACTTACCTTTCTTAATATTTAATAATATTAAAAGAAATGTGTAATTAATTCGCAAATCTACGAATCATACTCGCATTTTTGCTGAAAGAAAAAAATTCGAATTAATGCATAAGTTTTAATAATTATGCTATTATATCAAATGAAGTCTTTTAGGCTGTAAGCCTTCAAAAAAAGGAGAAGGTTACCAATTCGTCTGTATATGTTTTTTTTTAAATAAATGTAACCTCAGTACTTTTGACTGGGTGAACCGATTTTGATAATATTTGAAAGCTGATGTTTCCCGTATGGTCCCATTTCAATCTGAAAATTCCATCTATGAGAAAACTACCTTAAACATTCCTCATTTAGTCCAAATAGCTGAAAATTCCATTCCTGCACAGGATGCTGTTACTTTAGAATCATCCTCGAAACATTGTCACTTTCAATGGCAAATGCATTCACTATACTATATTAGATCCGAAATTGTTAAATTGTTGTTTTTGTTAAAATTAGGATATCTGTCTCAATCAAATAGCTAATTCTAAAATGCATTTTTCAATCAAAACAAATGGTCTATAATGGTCTTATATTCTTATAAATAAAGCATACCTTTGAAAGCTATAAATTGATTAAACTTCAATGCTTAAAGCTTCAAAAAATAATGGATATGGCACGAACAGAACTGAACTCAATGGCAAATTTGGAAGCCCAGAGTATGGGGCAAGATGTGGATTGAATAATGAAAGGCAAAACTACTTGTTGCCATTTAAATACCCTACCGAGCCCGCTAGGTCATTTGGTGAAGAGTTATTTGATTATTTATAATTATATTTATATTATATTTATTGTGCCAATAATACACTATAATAATAATCAGTAGCAACGACAGAAGTTCTCATTGTGCCACGAAAATTTCACAGCTCCCAAAATTCAGGAGCTTTAACAACAGATTTAATAGGCTCTTACAAAGCTGCTTTCAGAGATGATATTTTCAAGAAAATGCATTAAATTTGAAACTGCCTCAAGGTGTTCCTTAAGAAGATCCTTCGTTATTGCAGTTGATAGACACTTAGAATATAGGTCTGAGCCATGCAGTTGTAATTTCTTATCTACTCCCATGTACGAGTATATGATCAGACAAGCAATTTGGCTGCAATGGGGCAATTGACCAATCCGGCAATCGGCCAACAGCCAAGTACAGTTGTGCGCCAATGCAATATACTTAATTAATTTATAATGCAATTTCAATTAAACAACATCATGATGAGCGCCGCAATGGAGACGGCAACATGAAACCCGTTTTAATATGCCACCCGATGAGCGGTCCCAGCGGCCACTTCGTCCGCTGGTGGCAAATCCGATGCCTAATCGTTGTTTATGAGCACCGCTGCCTCTGCTGTTTCTGCTGCGTACGCACTAAGCCGGTGGCCAGGGGTAAAAAGCGTTGCATTGTGGCTATTTTTGTGCCACACCAGAACCACTAACAACACCACCACCACCACCACCACCACGACTATCACCATGTTGTGGCTAGTGGCCACCCGCTCGGGCGCGTGCAATTGCAAGTGAAATTTATGCAAATGGCCATCACCTGGCGATGGCTTTGCGCAATTGCAGCCGCCCTGCTCCTGAGGCTGCGTGCGCCGGTCGTGGCAATCATGAAGTCATGAAGCGTCACCTGCTGTGGCATTTGATTGAACTCAAGTGTGCCAGATACACATGCGCCCCGGACACGTGACGTGCGATGGACCAGCTCGAAATTCTAAAGCGCGCAATTGAAATTGAAATAGGCATTAAAATAACAACACCAGCAACAACAATAATACCAACAACAATATCAGAAACAACACCAAAGCACCAGCACCAGCACCAGCACCACCGACAATTAGGCGCTGACGTTGCTGTTGACTCAGTCGTGTACTGCAGAGGCTGCCACTGCCACTGCCATCTCATCTGTGTGTGTCTGAGTGTGTGCGCGGAATTTGCACAGTGGTGCCAATTATTACAAGTATATATTTCAAAACGAATAAAAAAATGCCAATAAATTCTCACCACCATTTTATAGTCGTATAAAGGCAATGCATTTTTAATAAACATCATATTTAAGTACACATACACAAGCACATAAAACCAATGAACATTAAAATAAATGAAGAAACAGATAAAATAAACATTTTAGTAAAAAAAAAGGTTCAATTAAATAAGCCAAGCCATAGAAGGACACTGAAACTAAAACCATTCCTTTGTGTAGGTATGGGATGTTAAGGGAATTTGAATGCAATGGGAATTTGGTGCATTTCTTTATTTATTTATCTATTTATTTATTTTTTAACTTATGTAATGCTAGCTTAAAGTTACAAATTACAGTTAACAGGGTTTATATAGCTATGACTGCCAGGATCTTAAACTAGTGCAACCAATGAAAGACTTTGTACAAGTAATTAAAAATGAAACAGGATATGTAGTTTTGGGATACATGAATTAAAGAAATTTACTTACACAATATTTGTTATGTAATATTTATATTGAGTGAGTAGCAGCATAACTTATAGAGTTTGACTTTTAATTTGATCATAAATGTGAGTTTTTTTGGAGGTATTTAATAATTACTCGTATGTTCTCTGTAGAAGGTGAGGAAAGAAGTGTGACTGTTTTAAAACAGAGGTAGTAGATTATTTTTTTTTGCAATTTTGTAAAATTCTTTGCTAATAGTTACCTTTAAAGTTGAAACTATAACTAACTGAACAATTTTTCTTCGACTGCTTATATTTACTTGTATTGACGCAAAAGATAAATGCATTTTCTTATTAAACACATTTGATTATTTGAGAGCCTTATACAATAGACTCAACAAAATACAGCGAGGATGAAATGGACGTGGATGCCGAGAATGCCAAAGAGAAGCTGCGAGACGTCATCGCAACCTATTCCTGCTAAGGAAGATCCTACTGCACGAGCAGGATCTTCTCAGTGACGAAGGGGGATGTGCTGTAGCAGGAAGCAGGTCCTACAAACAAACCTGCATTCCAAGACGATCTTAGCCAAGTTCATCAGCAGCTCCGGCTGATCGAAGGTGGAGCAGTGAAACCAAAGTGGATTAAATGACATGGCAGCGGGCCTACTTGGCTCAAGTGTAGGGGCGTGAACAACTCTCCAGCCAGATCTACCGAACGTCATACTTGTATATTGCCAGCTCCATAGCCTGCTAAGTTTAGTCTCTGGCTTCGATAATCTTAGCAGAGCTTTGTCAAATCAGGCCAGCCAGCATATACGAGTTTGCAGTATGTTGGTGCATCGATTTGTTCAGATGTAGTGCCACGACTAATGCATAAGACTGTTAAATATATATTTGCCAGAAACATTCACTTAAAAGCGTAATTCCAAGACAAATGAATTGCGTTTGAACACGCAAATAGTCATCGTCACTTGCCTCACTGTCTGGCTGCGCTATTGGGCTTGGACATGAACATGGGCGCGCACATTGCAACGGCATTTGTATCACAACAACAGCAACAACAACAGAAACAACAATAATAGCAACAATAGCGGCAGCAACAACTATTGTAAATGCAAATCGAAATCAAAATAGAATATCTTGTATCTTGTATTGCATTCAAATTGCGCTGGGCCTGCAAATAGAAGCGACTGATGTTGTTGTTGCTGCTGCTACTGCTGCTGCTACTGCTGCTGTTGTTGTTGTTGTTGGTGGTATTGTTGTTGTAATTGGTACGTTGACAATTTGCATGAGCGCGCGCTAACGACCGAAGCACTCGCCAAGGCTTTTCCTTGCACATGCACTGTCGAACCGCTACTCGCCGGGCATCGAACACCGAAGAACACCGGACACTGCAAATTCCAACCGGATGAATGAGTTTTGCAATGTGATTTATACGCACCTAGGAGGGGTGAGTGGGAAGGGGGTGGGGGAGGGCAGTACGGTGTGCTGACTCGATGGCGTATGTAAAGTGTGGATTGATGTGTGGCTCGCAGGTGACCGCAAGCGCTCCAAATTCAAAAACAATACTTGCAACGTGATGCGATATGCATTTGGCATATGTTTTGGAAAACTTTGCTTGTTTTTCCCATGAGGCTGGCTGATGGAAAACAAAAGGTAGCGGTCAGTTAACTCGAAAAAAATATTCATTTAACATTTTTTAAATAAATATATAAAGATCGGCGATAAAGCGCTAACAGCTCTCATGGCTATTTAGTTAATATTCCAGCCAGACAATCAGACAACAAGACAGCCAGTCAGCCAGCCAGCCAGGCAGCCAGCCAGCCAGCCAGCCAGCGAGCCAACCAGTCAGCCAGACTGGCAGCCATGCAGCTAAAAGGCAGCACACATACGAGCATACTCGTATATGAGAAAAGCTCTTTCGATCCGCTCAATTCTACAATTTTAATAGCCGCATTGTGTGCGAGCGAGCGAGTGCCTGATAAATCTTTATGGCCTGGCGTTCAATTTAATAAGATGCTGGATACTGGATATTGGATGATACTGAATACTGGACGCGGCACTCGGCACCCGGCACCCGGCACTCGGCAAATGTTGTCTGACTTGTCAATGCTGAAGATCTCGTGTTACCTGCATAAGCATGAGCATAAGTACAAGCATAAAAATTTATGACTCGAAATTAGCGGCACTGCCAATGGCTGGCCAGAGGCCACCCTAAACAACCGAGAAGGCCCTTTGCTAAGCCACAGAGCCACAGAGCCCAGGGCCCAGAGCGGCCCTTGTTCAATTGCCTTTGACCTCGGCTGGCTTGATTGCTTAAAAAACTTGCAGTTCGGTTGAATCTTTATTGAAGAGACATCTACAGTACCAGGATTTTGGTATTACAGCCAGCTTCGGATGCACAGTAGCGCAAACAAAGTGAACATTCCCCGGAGCAGCACCAGTGACTGCATTTTCGTGCTCCTGTTCATCTCAAAGGTGTACTGCATGACGCCGCGTTTGGTGGCCAGCACCTGGGTGAGCAGGTCGGTTTCATCGTCGTCGCCATTCTGGACAAGGCAGGCATTCGTCAGATCGTCAATGATTTGGATGTGAAATGGAAAGCAATACATGCTCGTATTAGTCAACTTTAAGGTGGTGTTTGTGCCATCCGAATCGATGCACTCATACTGATTGACCTGCACGAAATGGATCTTGCTGCACGACTGCAGTGGCGACTGCTTCATCACAGCCATCACCAGGTCCGGAGATTTCGGCATGAAGATAGAAATTGGTTCACCTGGCATTATGAAGGTGTCCCGGAACTTTGTGTATGCCACCATCGGAAATGTGCCCCGGCACTTTAGGTCCAATAGCTGTGTCTCAGCCTGCAGATATTCGCAGCGCTTCGGCAATAAGTTGAACTGCGGCCGCACACGCAGCACCAGCGTGAGAAGCAGCAGCCCCAGCAAGAGATGGGGTGCCTCGCACATCCACATATTCCTGATGGTGCTGGTGGTAAACAAGTCTTCCGGATATCGCTAAAAACAAATAACTACAAATTTGTAAAAACCTAGACATGTAGAATGTGTTTGTGTCTCTGCAACAGAGTGTGTGTGTGTTTCTTGACAGCCTGACAATCGTACTGAACGACAGTTTGGGAGCAGGTTTCGTTGTTTTGAGCAATTGAAATGATTCATGATAGCCAGAGTCAGAGTTCGTGACTTGAATCAGTCGATGATGATGATGATGATAATGACGATGATGATGATGATGAAATGACACATGCACTCGGTCTGTGTCTTTCGATCAATGTGTCTGCTCCCCAAGCAATCGTCAGCCGCACAGCCTCCAATGCAGTCTTGTAAATGCGCAAAGTATTTCAATTGCATTACTCATTTCACTTGCTGTGCAATATTTAAGTACAGTTCGCAATCCTTAATATCGACAAACGCCCACTAAATAAGTATTAGAGCTGGTAGTATTAATGTATTTAATAAAAACTTGCCATATAGTACACTGAACGCCAATTTAAAATCGATCCGCCCACAACTATGCCAAACATATTAGTAATTTGAAACGAACGCGATAAAATAAATACCTAAAAATATTTATTTATGCAGACTTCAATTTGTTCAAAATATCCGTTTAAATGCAAACTAATTTGTTCTGCAAGTTCCTGAAAACCTTTTAGCAAACAAAAAAACATAGACCTACAGCTTCCATTAAATTGTAAACATATCACAAGTTTGAAATGAACGTGATAAAATAAATACCTATAACTATTTATTTTTGCAGTTCCTCGAAATTTTCATTCTACGTAGTAGAAGCAACCGAAAGAACCAGACTGCAATTTTTTCGAATTCTTTATTATAAAGGAGGTTTACATTAAAATGCAAACTGATTTATTCTGCAAGTTCCTGTAACCCTGTAAGCCAACAAAACCGCTTCCTTAGACCTACAGCTTCCATTAAATTGTAAACATATTAGAAGCTTGAAATGAACGTAATAAAAGAAATACCTACAATTATTTATTTTTGCAGTTCCTTGAGATTTCCATTCTAGTAGAAGTAACCGAAAGAATTTGTAATTTTTCGAATTTGTAATTATAAAGTTTGTTCAAAATTTACATTTAAATGCAAACTGATTTATTCTGTTCCTGTTACCTTTTAAGCCAACAAGAACGCTTACTTAGACCGATAGCTTACATTGAATTGCAAACATATCACAAGTTTGAAGAAATAACTATTTATTTTTGCAGTTCCATGAGATTTCCCTTTTAGTGGAACTAACTGAAAGAATCAGATCCTAATTTTTTAGTATTTTTAAATATAAAATTTGTTTGATGCAAACTAATTTGTTTTGTGAGTTCTTGCATTCTCAATAACAGAAAAAATATCATATTTTTTTCCATAATAAAAATTTGTTCTCGAATAAACCAACAAGAGCACTTACTTAGACCGATAGCTTACATGCAATTACAAACATTGGAGTCCGATCAGGTAAACCAGATGTTGATTGCGCAAAAATAAAGTGAATTCAATAACATTGCTGTACTAATTGTTAAATTAAATTTAAACAACACTATTTGATTCTCAATTGAAGTATTTTCCTTAAAGCAATCTGAGAGTTATTTTTTTAGAAGAATTCTGATGACTAATTGTAATGATATGTACATATATTTTCGTGCCAATAAGTCGACGATGTGTGGCGTGGACTGTCCGACATTAGTGCATATCTAAATACGTATACTGGTCGCATTGGCCGACAAGTTAAACATTGTTTGAACATTTGCTGATTTAATAGTTTAATTATGGAAAATTATTTTAATTAAAAGTGCAGCTCGTTCTGTTACAGCGTTTGCAGATTCCATTGTGCTTGCATTTTTGGTATCGACTTGAACGTATAGTACTTGTACATATGTATGTATCTCGATCGGTGCCACACTTGTGGCCACAATGGTCTGTGCCTGTGTATGGGGAGGAGGTGGAGTCTTGGGAGCAAAGTTGCAGCCGACAGCTGACATGGCTTGTCATGTCATGGAGAGTTGCATAATACGTGTACGTGTAACCACTAAGTTATAATATGATTTTAAATACTTTCAGTTAGTTCTGCAATAGTGTGCCGGCATAATTTTCTGATTGAGACGACGGCATTAAAACGGCAAATTTAAATATCAAAGTGGCAAATTGTTGTGCTATCTGCCGCTCGTTTGCTGCCGCAGTGCCACCATCTCTGATTGACTTTTCCGGGCGCACTTGATGCACTTGAGACACTCGTACTCCAGCGCCCCATTGGCGGACAATGGCCGCCACGAAGGCCGAGGCCGAGTCCGAGTCCGATGTCAGTTAGCTTAATCAGCGGCAATTGATGGGTTAAGTAGCCGTTTTTAGTAGCATTCATTCACACACACACACACACACAGACAGTGGGGAGTGTGCAATTGATGTGAAAATGATTGCGCAATTCACTCGCTAGCCATTCACGAATTGTGCAATAAGTTGGCATTTCCTATTAATAGAATTAGCTGGCATTTTATTGTAATTGGAGCATGATTTTATTTTACCGCACACAAGCTCACATTTTCTGGAATAAATTCAGCGACATACGACACATTGCAGAAGAGTGTAGATACTTTAAAAATTACGGCTAATAAAACAACAATAAATTGGTAAGAAATCAGTTGTAAATGTAAGATCTGCTATATAGTACTTAATAAATTTCGGAGTGAACAAAAACTGTTTTTTGATTGAAAATTCGCAAAGAGTGTGCATATTTATTAGAATATCGTAGTTCATAATTTATTTAGATTTACGGGGGCAGAGAATATGGGCATCGAAAACGGTCGGGTATATGAAGAGCTACGGCAGATTTTAAAAAAGTTAATTGCAGTTTTCATTTTCAGGATATTCGTTGCCAGAGCTGGAAGCATCTAACACTAATACATGGTAACAGATTCATGCTCTCTGACTTTGAATATCAGATTTTTAAAAATTGTTTCTTTGTATTGAATTAAAAATGATTGTACTTGTATTAATAAATTAAATAAATATATATAAATACTTCAACAAATCAACGTAAAACAACCAATTCCGATACAAGATAGTATCTTTTGTTTTTATTGCATTTATAGATAGTGCACTGGAAATAGAAAACGAATCCGATTACTTAAATGCAAAGCTGACGCAGAACAAAAACTCCATTTATAAATAAGGCGTTTCTACATTTGAGTGTGGAGATACGAAGGAGGTGGTGGTAAAAATTTGGTTCTATTGGACACGTGCCAAATACTACGCCAATAACAATAACAAACACGACACCAACAAAAGCTGCAAATAAATCGATTGCGTTGCTTGAATGCAAAGAAAATTAACGAACACACACACAAAGGGTCCAGTGAGCCCAGAGTGCAAAGCAACAAATTGAATGGAAACAGTCTTTGGGCTGACCAAAAAAATCAACAGAGCCGCAAATAGCAACACAACCAACAACAACAATAACAACAATAGCAGCATTATCCAAGTGTGAATTTGAAATAAAGTGGCGCTTAATTGCGAGCGATTAATTAGGCAAGAATTTAAGCAAACGATACCCAAAGGCGCTGTCGCTAGCAGGCAGCAGCGGCGGCAGCGGCGGCATCAACATCGTCATCAGCAGCAAAGGTCGTGTCAAGTGTCAAAGCAAAAGTTTAACGGTTTCAACAGTTTCACGCATCAATCACGATCAGCCGGCAGCGACGCGTTGTCCATTGATTGTGAAATGAGCCCCGCCGGGCGCAGCTTACTGGCCATTCGAAGGGTTCGCTGTGCATTTGGAGCGCCTCTCTCCCTCCCTCTCTCTCTCTCTCTCTCTCTCTCTCTCTCTCTCTCTCAGCATGGAATTCAGTTTCGGGGACAGTGCCGACATCACGTACTTGAAAAATAAAAAACAAACTCTTGTTGTCCTTTTCTTATATTGTTCATCTCTCCATCCAAGGACGTTCGCCTTAAAATGAAACTGAGTTGGATTTGTTGAAGTTTTTTCATTGATCATGAATAAATTATTTTTTAAATGCATCGTGCATTATTTAATCAAAATTTTAATTGTTTGGCCCCGCTTTGGTAAAAACTGCGTACGCCCTTGTATCCATCTATTTCTTTTTCACATATTGTTCATCCATCCACTGCCATCCTTTTATGCAGCATCGTTCCTATTTCTATTCTGTTTCAAAAGTTTTATTTTGGCTTTAAAATGTTTATGATTTTAAGAAAACATTTTTATTCACTTAGTATGTGCAACATAATATTTCGAAGCCATCAGTGAAAATTAGAATGGTATATTATCTTCGCGTTAAACTTTGCAATATGGGCATGCGAGGCATCAAAATATTAAAAATATAAATTTAAATATGTTATCGAAAATTAATAGAAAGTACAGTTGGGTAACAATATGTTGCACTTAAGGAACATACGTACTCCTTTCCCTCTCCCTTATGTTTGGAAAAGGTTTTACCGTACGACAGTATCATTCACTATTATAGAATAAAATTTATATTTAAAAATTATATTTTTTCGAACATTAAAAAACATTAGATTTTTGAGGTACAAATAAAAAGAGTTTATACATAAAAATCAATTGGCTTTTGGCATATAAGTGTGTAAGATATTGTTACATATACTTGTAGAACTCTTTAGTCATCAAAATCGTGGTGATTACTTATTTGTGAAAACCTCTACCTCTATCTTGGAATTGTTCCGCACTCTTTCATAGTTTAAGCAAAGAAATCCCCTTCCAATGCACATTCCAACATCTTTGTAATGCAAAATTAGCTCAGATGGATTAATCGAAAAAAAATTCAGGACCAATCATAAATAATGTGAACGAATATTTATAAAAGATCGTAAGGTTTCCCCCCAGATAACTTTTTAGAACATTTTCATAATTGAAATTTGTTACCTCCTCGCAATAATGAAGCAATTCTTCTTCATGTGACAACAGAGGCATGCCAACGAACTCAACGGGGAAGGCCAACAAGGGGCAATCATAATGAAAACAATGAAGGGCAACAATGCATAAACAATAGCGCGATGAGCG